AAAGAAAGAACAAGAATGCATAAGAGTGCAGTTATTTTTAAAATCAAGAACTGCCCCTTTTTTAATTAAAAAAAATGTGCTAAATGAAACTTTTTTCGAAGCGATAAGAAAACTTTTCTGATAACAAAAGCTGTGTTTGATCGCAAAACATTCACAGCTCTAGGCTGGCCAGCTTCTCCAAAGAGACCTCAAAAGTGTGTGAGAAAAAGGAGATTTTTACCCAGCGGTGGTTCGTGGTTTGCCTGTTTATCAGATTTGCAACTGGAACGCAAAGTCCTTGGGGTGGGGGAATCCTTGCATTGTTGCGTTCCTTCCTTCCCAACTATTTTACTAAGCCGGTCTCAGAGTCCTCAGAGTCCCAGGGTCGATCACTTCTAGGCTCGGCTACAGCCACAGAAGTGTGACAATTAACACAACCTACCAGCTCTTTTGTCCAACACAGGCAATCCTCAACAACTCATCTAAACTCAAGTTTCCAAAGTCTTTGCCTTGGAGATTGGATGTTAATATGAATCTAGTTAATCAGTTCATTGGTTTAGATCATCTCTTAAAAGCTGAATTTTAATATATCCCTAAGAGCTGAATTTTAACCTTCTTCCTGGGAAATCTACGGTCATATCTGAAAGCATCTAACCATCTCCTACTTCCTTTTCTGCAAGCATTTTATAGGGACATCTGCTATCAACTTTATTTCATATCTTTTTTTTAAAAAAAAAAAACCACACGAAATGTGTCGAGTCCATTCCGAGATTTTCCAAATTGGCATTGAGTTGAGTTTGAGTTGAGTTGAGTTTATTGGTCTTGTATGCCGCCCACTCCCGAAGGACTCCGGGCGGCTTACAATAAACAAGGGAAGGGGATAAATAAACAAAACAACACTTTAAAACACACAACATTCACAGTTACCGTGGGGCTGGGTATTTCAAACCAGTTCACGGTTTGAGCCGGGGGGTTGGACTAGAAGACCTCTGCGCTCCCTTCCAACTCTTGTTCTTTTTTGACAGAGGGGTGTGTGCCTTTATTTCTAAAACATAGCTTATCTCCAGGATTTAAGGTTCCTCTCCTTAAAAACTCCATCCGAGAGAACAGCAAGCTTCATCATCTCAAACTCTAGAAAAGGAGCGAATTTAAACCACGCATGGATTTTGATAACGGCTTCTGGCACAACAATGGGGCTCCTGTCTTTACCAAGCCGCCTTTCCCGTAGACAGTCGGCAGAAATATTCCCGTACCACGGCGTTCGATGCCGCTTCGCCATCTCTGCCCTGGCATAAGAGAGAGCTTGTGTCTTCCCTCTGCATTGCTCCACTCCCAAATGTGCTTTTGCGTGGGAACAGTGCATGGGGTTATAAACTGTTGGAAGGCCGGCAATCCGAAAGTTGCAGCCACACCTTCTCTACTTTTGACGCATTTGAACATTGCATAAGAGGGAGCCGGAGATTTTGGCGTGGCACCAAAATGGGCGTTTGGCAGCTGGAGAGTTCAGCTGCCTAGGGCAGTGTTTCCCAACCTTGGCAATTTGTATGATGGGTGGACTTCAACTCCCAGAATTCCCCTGCCTGCAATGGGGCCTTGTGGGAGGTATGTAGAGAGTCTGGCCAGGATGCCAAAAGTTTGGAAATCACCATCCTTCCGGCTGAATGCAGTGCACTCTAAAAGTATGGGCAAAATATAGAATAGAATAACAGAGTTGGAAGGGACCTTGGAGGTCTTCTAGTCTGACCCCCTGCTTAGGCCGAAAACCCTGCACTGGGCGAGAAAACAGATTTAATAAGGAAATAAGACGGAATGGGTTTAACCCATTCGGTAGTTTCTTTTTGCAGTTTGTAACTGCAAAAGTTTGTAATTTGTCTTTTTCGCTAAAGGGCCACTTTGCAGATTTGAACACGGGGCCCCATCTAACAAAAGGAAATTCAATGGTGAAAAGAGTCAGGTTCTACATTTAGGCAAGAAAAACGAAATGCCCAGATACAGTATTGGTTGGTACTTGGCTCAATAGTAGTAACTATGAGATGGATCTTGGAGTCCTAGTGGACAACCATTTAAATAGGAGCCAACCGTGGGCAGCAGCTGCCAAAAAAGCCAACACAGTTCTAGGCTGCATCAACAGAGGGAGAGAATCAAGATCACGTGAAGAGTTGATACCACTTTAGAAGGCCCTGGGAAGGCCACACCTGGAATACGGCTTCCAATTTTGGTCACCACAATTTTAAAAACATGTTGAGATTCTAGAAAGAGTGCAGAGAAGAGCAACGAAGAGGATTAGGGGACTGGAGGCTAAAACATATAAAGAACAATTGGTGGAATTGGGTCTGTCTAATTTAGGGATGGGATGGCTCAGTGGCTAAGATGCTGAGCTTGTCAATCGGAAAGGTTGGCAGTTCGAATCCCTAGTGCTGCGTAACGGAGTGAGCTCCCGTTCTTTGTCCCAGCTTCTGCCAACCTAGCAGTTTGAAAGCACGTAAAAAATGCAAGTAGAAAAATAGGGACCACTAATTTTGATGGGAAGGGAACAGCATTCCATGTGGCT